TCCATTCCGCGGCACTACACGGCGCAGACCCGATCCGTACCACAGAGGTGGGTACTCTACTTAGTAGGTCAGCAAGCGAATATATGGAACATTCGATAGTAACAGTGTTTTGTCAACAACGGCCCGAATTGACTCATCACATATCTTCCATTGTCGACTCACTTGGCCCAAGCTTCAAACGGGAATTTACTGACCACTTCTTCCCATCAATCTTTCCTGAACCACTACAGCGACTATGAGAGCCATACCATATGTTCACACATTGTATCATACATACTTGCCATTTTTGAAATAAATAATATTATCACTATTGCCTTAGAATAAATAAATATCGTATAAATATCGATATAAATAAACGAAATGAGACGTTTAATAAAATTAGGTTTGCCTCGTTGAGACATTGCCTATATATAATCCTCTCAGTACTGTTTCCGCCGAAGGGATTTTATTTAGTGTTTCGTTGTGGCTCTATTCTGGGGCGAATCCGAGAGACTCATAAAATCCTATCTTTAGAAAAAAGAAATAAAAATAAAAATACTCTTGACGTCTTTAGTTATTGTCTTAACCAATAACTTATCACTATCAAGAATTACCGACTTTGCCTTCATCAGACTGGCACATCTGGGTGGCTTATCGGAGGATCAACTAGGTAACGTTAATAGTCCCTAGAAACCTATATTCGGTTGAGCCATCTCGCTACCGAAGTATTCAGATATAAATAAAATTGGAAAGTACACAAGGCTCTATTAATAGAACTAGACCAACTCTTTTATGTTTAGTATTTTACTGAGGCCTTTTAATGGCCTCATCCAAATATCTGATATGTTAAATGGAAAAGGTTTAATTAATAAAACCATTAAAAACCATTTTAGGAAACTTAAGTTCCTCGTGCTATTAAAAGCACATTTAGGAGACTTAAGTTCCTCGTACTATTAAGAGTGCGCTTATAATTTGCGTACTGATTAAGAGTACGTTTAAACATAGAGTCTAATGCGGAGGCCCGGCTTATTACAATATCGCCTTGATTGACCGAATCTTAAATTATTTTCCGCAGAGTAATGAAGTCCCCGCATGCGGAAGGCGTCAAATGATACATATTCGACAATAATAGAACATGGAAATGATATAAGTAATTTGATGGATCATACACAATAAGAAGACATCAAGCATACATAAACAAACAAATGTATGTTGTGGTGGGTGATTCTGTTGTGGTGTTATTGAGGGTTGATATTGTGGAAGTCGATGCTGTACAGGTTTCGGTGGGTGGCACGGGTGTTGTTGTTCTGGTGTTTATTTCAGGTGGTGACGATGTGATGTTTAGAGAGTTGATGCCTGCTGGATGCCTGTTGCGGGCTCTGGTTGCCTGGGCCTAGCTTGGTATGCTGGATATTGTATTGGTTGTGGGTGTGATTGTGCCAATAGTGCTGGATATAGTTTGTTCGTCAATGGCAGATTGCAGCAAGGCCTCTTCGACAAGCTCTGGGTTTGTCAGTAGTGTCTCTATTCTAAAAGTATTCTGGCTTGAGGCTTGTTCTATCTCCTCTCCGATGAGTTCATCTATGTCATCTCTATCGGGTATCATTTTGTTTTGCTTTTTGGAATCTCTCATATTTCTGCGTAATACGGTGCGTTATTATGTGTTTTATAACTATGCGAGAGTGGTCTGTGCGTTGAGTTTCAAATACTATTTATACTTAGAACAAAACACTACTATCACCAATCAAACTCAAACTACAGAATAGCGTTCTGCCCCCGTATCTATACCGAATCTCGTATCGGCCGTTCTCATGTGTGCCATTGTGCGTAGGATACAAATTAAATAATAGAGTACAAAAATCCGCTGCTTTCAACTACTATACAGCTCTTATGCACGCGCCGTAAAAGCAAGATAAAACATGTCTCCGATATGATGGGGACTGAAATTGATGAAACTACACCCCGAACTTTTAGTCTCTAACTTTTAATTTTGACGACTGAATTAGTTAGCCAGTGCTTCACATATTACGGCCCGCTAACTTGCCTTTCAACGCGTTAAACATTTCGTACATGTAGGCGTATTTCTACAGAACGTGATTTTACTTGGGGGCCTATATATAGGGAAATTTATGACGGACAGACAAAAGAGTCGTTAATGAAGTCTGGAGAGGACTTCCAAGAACTCCCGCTATTACTTTTGTCTTTTTCTACAAAAAAAACTTATGACAGAGTATTTCATTGGCTATTTTTTGGCGCTCTGGTCGCCACACGAAAGTATCGGAAAGCGATGACATCATGATGGGCGAATAAAATTGTATGACGTCACTACTGACTGACGTGTGGACAAGTACTTTCTTTTAATATGTTTTATTTTGAAAAAACATTTAATACCTATGTAAAATAGTTCTGATGTAAATCTCGTAAATACGCGACAAGCACGTAGAGAGTCTTTATCTTTCGATCGACCTCAATAGATTGCAGTAGAGTTTCACTAACGTGGGTTGTGGGGTTTGTATTTTAATGCTCAGAGTGGAAGGGAACTGATACACACCAAATCCCATAATATCACTTGGCCGATGGCGTGATTTTTAAATATGCGTCAAACTGTCAAGCAACGCGAGAGTGCATCTTGGAACTGAATACAACCCATCGGACGAGATTGAATACAGGCCGTTGCACCAGATCTGTGGGGGTCACTAAGAGGAAAAATGGTATGTATATTGATTAGAGCATATACTGTAAAGTGATGTGTCTAGGTATGTATCGTTCAATGTGACAAGGCATCAAGGGCCTGAATACATCCCATCATATCAGGCCGGAGTGGATACGAGATGTTGAAGTAGATTTGGAAAATTACCGACAGACACTTTTGTATATATGTATTACGCTCAGAACACTGCGAATATATAGTGAACTAGTTATTGTGTTGGAAGAATGAAAATGAAGGTCTGGTCTTATGGATGTACCGCGATCTATTGAATTCATGGAAGCAAACACACATCTTATGCACTTGTAACTTTCTACGCTACATGCGAAGTGTAAAAGAACTTTTAAGTACAGTGGTAGGTTATATAAAAGTAAGTGGTGTATTGAAATCTCACAGACACCCCTGCTGTGCATGAATGGAGTATGTCCTCAAGTACTCTCCTGCCGTGCACAAATGAAGTATATCCTCACACACCTCTGCGGTACATAGTTCTGTTTTTAAAATTTATATACAGTGTATATTTGCTCAGAAAACACTTACAAAGTCAGACCTCAGCGCATTTATAAATGGCACTAATAGCTCGGTTGCGAATCAATCGTTTACGTGCACACGAACTATCAGTGGATATGTTGCCAATCGATAACGGTGAAAGGCCGTATTGTTGACGCGGTAGTAATGTATATATTGCAGATGTGTACTCAAGTTATAAGAACGTTGCGCTGATACATGCCCATACGTATACACGACGAGCATGTATACATCTTGTACACGTACAAAGTATTGGGATGCCCATAACGGATCTTTATGAGTCCGTGGAAATACTTCGGACGTATTATTATATACTCATTCTTGTATGTCTATTTATCACAGCCGATTGCGCTCAGTAGAAGTCATTTACGCGCACGTCTCATGTTTTGTACAACGTGTGTCCTGTGCAGATTTCCTTTGCGGGGCTCAATCAACAGACAACAACGGAAGACTTCCACAAGCACACAGATGAGGGCCCTACGCGAGAAGCCTTGGTATGTGTCTTCGTGGCGCATACGTACCCTTCGTACCCATATCCCGTTTATGCGCATGTGGGTCTAGTATTCTGGTTACGCATTCGTTACCTGGGTGCATTGATTTGCACAAACGCACACACATCCTGTATATACGTATTTGTACTCAGGCTTGTGGTCCAACTGTACATGAATACACACTTCGTGCAAATGCGCATTTGTACTTGAGTATGTGGTTCTATTGTATATGCTCACACACATCGTTCGTATACGCATCGGCACCTAGTTATGTATTTCTGTTTCATATTCGTGTATACATCCTGCATATTATTTTCATCTATTTTTGAGGTTCTATTGCAAATACGCACACACAACAGGCATATGCGCATTCGTCTAGGTATGAGATTCTGTTGCACATCCGTACATATCCCGTGATCATTCGCTTTGACATCTGAGTATGTGGTTTTATTGCCTATACATACACACACCCTGCATATGCGCATTTGTATCTGGCCATGTGTTTGTATATGTACAAGGCACTATTCATACCGCAGTATGCGTATAGAACTTTGTGTAAGTGTACAGTCTAAAGCTAGTATATCGTTCGATTCTACAAAAACTCGCTGCTCTGACTATTCTAGAATTAGTATAGAAACACATCGTTAGTTCACATGCTTGCTTGAAACATGCATACTTTGTATTCATCATCTCTTCATTTCAAGTAGTATGTATCTTGTCACGCTGTTACGATTGTCTTTTATCTACAAAGGCTGCTTCTGGTGGGACATTGATCAAACATATGCCAAACTCCATGTAAGCATGTAGGTTTTGAGCGCAACTGTCTATAGTACATAGTGTAAGTTGTGATCAGCTATCAGTATGGCTTTATGGTATCCCTACGAATTTCGTGGCGCAATACCGGATAATACCTATAATATGACTTTCTTCTAGCAATCAAATATGAGCAAACCCTGTTCATCGCGTCTGATTGTCTATCCTCTCCACATCCATGCACACACCACAATTAGGAGGCACACGTTGTGGGAGTGTATGAGAGGGCTCTGAGGACACAGAAGGTATGTAGTGGTGTGCAATATTGTGAAACTTCAAGGCTATAGTGCCACATGGCAAAGCAGGCGGCCGTGGTTGTGGTTTTGTAAGTGACAAATACCCTTCGAAATCGAAGCCTTCGCAGGCACTAGCGGCGTGGGTGTGACATATGTAGCAGATTCGCCACACCAACAGGAGCTTGCTTGTAGCATGCAGTTTTATCTGTTACTTAGTTATAGTCAGTGTAGTAGGTAACTAAAGCGTCATACTCCTTAGATCCAGTTGTATCGTTTCCACTGGCAGATTGGAGAATGTCATGTTTGCCCCACACCTAGTTATATGAAGTAATCACCCACTCGCGCGTGTACACGGATACCTGCTTGCTTACATATGCAGTCTGAATATAACGTTGATAAGGCGGAAATTATACCCTTTAGATACGATACACACAGCATTTGCGCACGAACTTGCCAACCTGACACAATCTTTCATGCATCATATCACAGCACGGGGACAACAAGCTCGCATTGGAGCTCTACAACGAAGCGCTGATGTCGAAGCAAATGGTCGGGGTTGACCGCAAAGTGCTGCGGAATAAGGACCCGCGATCGCACACAATGTTGTGGTTGAAGTATCTGATCAACAAGAACATTGCGCAGCTGTGTACTACCGACGGGCTGTTCAGCCATTCGTTGCAGTACTTCTTTGAGGTCCGTTCATGAACCCCATCGACGCGTGGGTTGGTAGAATACAGTTGGGGTGTTGCAGTGTATTGAAGTGCTGTCAGTAAATGCGTACCAGGATAGTGGGATGAGGTTTAGTATTTGAACCTCGTGCCCCGCAATGTATGGTTTTGATTCCCTTAAAGTCGTGTGTGATTAGATGCCATAGTCGATGTTTTGCCGTGGTCAAAGATGGTGCTAACAGAATGTCCAGTGCATGTTTTGCTTGCACTGTCGCAGGCAAAGTATGGATGCAGCCAACGCTCAGTAATCTATAAATCTGCATAGACATATCAGCCGTTTAAGAATCGTATTAGCAAAGTGAAATCGGAGTTTGTGGTAGACGGTGCCATATATATGATTGGCGGAGTCACGTTCAGATTTTGCGGGATATCACAAATTTAGCTGCTGAGTGTTGGGTATTAGGTTCGGTTGTAGTTGCGTGTCTATGGGCATTTGTCCCATGCCTGCATGGTTCAGCAATGTAATCAAGTATCGCCAATAGTTCGATGAGGCAGTCATTGTGGTGAACTGTGTATGTATATGCATGTATGGGCAAATAAACTCACTTTAATGCTCACTATCCTTCCCTCTATCGCGCCTTTACAGGCCTCACATACGCACGTATATACATCGTATCCACAATGCATTTTATGTGATATCTACAAACCCATCATATCCGCCTTGTTTTGTATGTGATGTCTACAAGCGCATCATATTCATATGGCATTGTATGTGATATCTACGAACACATCGTATTCACATTGCACTCTATGTGCTATCTACAAACACATCTTATCCACGTTGAAATTGTATGCGATATCCATATCTACATCCGAACATACTCGTGGTGCCACCAGCCGCGTGCGAACAATGTACCCCGATTTCTTTAGTCACACCCTCAGTTGCTTCTGGACAATGCCTATGATATAGGGTTCAGCGCATGTCGCAGCCATTTTTGTTTTGTAAAACACTTAACTAACTATTTCATTCACAGGCTACCAAGATAGAAGACACGGATCCCGTCGTATGGCTCAACTTCTCGGACGCAGCCGCTCGTGCCGACGACATAGGACTCGCCATTAGCTGTGCACAATCAGCGGTATGTTGTGGGGATATATGTAGTGACAAGTTGGCAAGACCCTGTACGCGTTCACGCACATATGCACGTGTATATGCGCATATCTAGACGTGCACGCAGACATACCTGTGAGATGCACTCTGGACGTTCCTAACATATCCGGTGTATGTTTCATGTTTCACCTCAGCCTATTAACGCAAAGTGCGCACAGCTTGATCTTGCCCCTCCCCATCTTCCCTACGTTTCCCGCGCCTCTCTCGCTGTCCGATGCCACACACTCTCTGAGTGTTGAGTACATGAATAAAACTGCATCTCATGTCGATGCTTCCGATAGTCTCTGGAGAAAGGGTGTGTGCTGCATATGTCAGACGCTTTGTGGACGTATGCTCATCCCGTCTTTCAACCTTCTAACAACAGCTACGAGCTGAACAGCACTGCTGGCCTGCTATCGATCGACTGTGTGTCCTGTTATTCACAGCTGGAGATTACAGTATGTAGGGGCTATAGAGTGTATATGTATGCCGCATGGGTATATATATATATATATATATATATACATATATATATATATATATATATATACATATATATATATATATATATATATTGGGCTTGTATGTGTGTATGCTTCGTGTGGGGGGAGAATAATTGTATGTGAAAGGTGTGGTTCTATTTACGAGTCTCCGTCAGATTTACATATCGATTGACACTGCACACATCCATTCAAAATCAAGTACATAATATGATTTTAAGGTTTGCACTTTTGTTAAAAAATAGACTGTGATTTACATCGAGGGTACATATCAATGTTATTGTGGATTGGGATGTGAACGTATTGTGTATCACGTTGTACATATTGTGTACGCGGATGTATTTGTAGGACGTAGTATGTATATGAATTATTGTGTAAGCGTTTATGGCTTACTTATTATGTATGTATATCGTGTGAATGGGCATATACAATGTATTGTTTTAGACGCCACCAATCGGAGTCGACAAGCATCTAAACCAGTGTCATGTTTCCTCGTAAACAATTATAGTCCAAATTGCTCGCACAACAAGTAGCGCAAGTTTGTTGATCTTCACCTTCATTCAAACCTCACATCATAAATATCTTCACAGGGGACATGAGCTATTTCTAGAACTTCCTCAACCAATATATGCACTAGTATAACACAATTTATACACTCACGAGGAACGCTCGTCGATACTCCACGCCGCAGTGTGTCTCACACTGCACGAAATCTTATGGGCAATACCACGCTTAACACTGTACTTGCATACACCCGCCCTGATACGCTACTACACCAGATACACAATTGCATACATAAACACAATCTGTTCCCACCACCACACTATATAGCTGGTAGTAGTAGTGTATCTACGACACACAATACATATATACACACACAATCCAAGTCAACACGCACCATAGCAGACGGTAGTATTAGTAGTATCTACATCATACACAATACACATCCACACACACAATCCAAGTTAACACCCTTCTTAGCAGGCGGTAGCAGTAGCAGTATCTACATCACATACAATACACATCCACACACACAAATTTATATCCTCACCTGCAGATAACAGACGGTAGTAGTAGCAGTATCTACGACACACAATACACATCGACACACACAATACACATCGACACACACAATACACATCGACACACACAATTTATATCCTCACCCGCACATAGCAGACGGTAGTAGTAGCAGTATCTACGACACACAATACACATCGACAGACACAATCTATATCCTCCCCCGCACATAACAGACGGTAGTAGTAGCAGTATCTACGACACACACAATACACATCGACACACACAATACACATCGACACACACAATTTATATCCTCACCCGCACATAGCAGACGGTAGTAGTAGCAGTATCTACGACACACACAATACACATCCGACACACACAATCTATATCTTCACCCGCACATAACTAACGGTAGTAGTAGCAGTATCTACGACACACACAATACACATCGACACACACAATACACATCGACACACACAATTCATATCCTCACCCGCGCATAACAGACGGTTGCAATGAGATTATCGCGTACGCTCTTGCGCTCGACCCCCTATATGCCCGAGGTCAGGAACTTGCCAAAGCCATCAGCAGCGATGAGACGCAGAGGATTAAGCACTACTGGCTCAGAGAAGCACGCACAGCTGGGGATGCGGCAACAGAACGGTAAGACTGAAACCCTAAAACCCTAGAAGAACGGTGGGAAGAGGAATATGTTTGAGAGCAATGGTCGTCTACGTTAGGAACGGATGACACCTCAAGAGATTTCGATATTTTTTGATAAGTTTGTTGTGTTGGAATGATTGGGTAACTGTGTGTGTATTGTGGGTCAAAGGTCACCACTTTTGAATCAGAGAAGCACGCACAGCAGGGGATACGGCTACAGAACGGTATGAAGGCAAGTATGTAAACGTGTCTACATCTATGTATGTAACGGAGCACAGGGGTTAGGGTTTATTGTTTCAGGAATTTTGAGTATATTCTTATAACGGCGTCTGAATGCTTGATAGGGATAGCAGTGTGTGTTTACTGGTTCAAAGCTCGGCACGTTTGGCTTAGATCGACTCATCCAGTTGAGTTTTGATAATATAATGATGCGAAAGAGCTGTATGTTTTTGTTTAAGGGCAAGGTGTCTATGTATATAACGGAGGGTAGAGTACATTTCTATTACAATGTAGAATAGCTTTCTGTGTTTATACGCAGTAAAAAGCTCCGCACTTTTGGCTTAGGTAGACTTATTCAATTGGCATGTGGTAGTATAAAAGTATGAAAGAGATGTATGTTTGCGTCGAACGATAGTTGTCTGTCTGTGGCGGAGGACACCCCAGAGGATTTGCGTACATCTTTATTACAACGTAGGATAGCTTGGTTGGCTCTGTGTTTATGTGTAGTACAAAGTTCAGCACTTTTGACTCAGAGAGGCACATCTAGCTTGGGATGTGGTAGCATGATGCCATGAAAAGCGATGTATATCTGTGTTTAAGCAATGGTCGTCTGTGTATGTGTCCGAAAACAACTCTTAAGGGTTTCAGTATATCTCTATTTCAGCGTCGAATTGCGTGGTTGGTAGTGTTTATGTATTAGAAAGTATCTGTTTGTGTCTAGGTAGTCCAAGGCTAAGCCCTACCGGCTCAGAGCATCACATACATATGGCCCTAGGAACGTATAAAGGTGGGGTGTTTGCACCAGTAGGTACAAAATAGTCACGAAGGGTCCCACCCATGTGAACTTTGCACATATCTAAGACTTACTACGTTTGTATGAAGTTCAAAAGCGAGTCCGTTCCCTTACCTTCCTGTTGGGTTCCGATTGGCGCATAAAACAGATCTGACGAGATAGCCTCGGAATTGCAAATTGGTCCTGGAAGACCGAATTTAGCAAGCCGGATTTCGGGATCAGCCAGATCTGGAGCATCACATAAAATGACCAACTCGCGCGTTAATAGGAAAAGAAAAGGTGTGTACACGTTTACCAGCATGCCGATTTAGGTTTTTAGGTTTTAGGGGTTTTATAACCCTAAAACCCTAAACCCTAAACCCTAAATCTGGGGCGTCACATAAATTGACCAAGTCTCACAATAATTGGAAAAGAAAAGGTGTGTACACGTATACCAGCATGTCAGGTGGTAACGGATTGTAAGCAGTTAACTGACTCTACGAGATAGACGCGCTGGCAAAAATATACGCGGATGCAAATGTAATTGCACCAAAGGTACACATTGGGGCGGGATACTAAGATCCCTTCACACATTCAGGTTTACATTCCATTGAAGTGTTCTCTCAACATGTTCACCGGGCAGGTCGATCTACGTCTACGGTCGGTGGTGGCATGAAGCGACGGCCCAATCTGGCGGACAGGCTGCGCGAGAAGCGGTTGAAACGAGCCAAGCAGTACATCGACAGCGCGCACACATACAACACCAGCGTTCCTACCCAAACAATAGTGCTGAACGAGGCCACGTGGGGTGGGGTGTGTGATGCGCTGTTGAGTGCTCACCGAGCGGTTGTCATGCCAACGGCCGAGCAGAGCCCCAGTATGGGTGGTGCTGGCCATGAACTGAATGGCGATACGATGTGTGTCCATCCCTTTCTGAGTGTGAAGGTATGTGCTCGTATTTAGGCCTGTTTTGCTCGCCAATTCGTCAGCACGCGCGTGCTTTTGGAACATCTAGTTACACGTGTAGTGTATGCATAAGCATAGTGCCGAATTAACACATACATAGAACACGCTTACCTTTCAGCAATTACGTGCGATTTCTCACATATACGCACACTTACATGTTCGCGCTTTTGTATGCGTTAACGGCTACACTCATTCGGTATAGAACTTGTGAGCCGTCAGTGTATTTATGCACAAAAAAAAACACCTAGATACGCATTGCAACAGCAAGAGAGAACTACATCGGTGTTATGATTAAGTTAGGACTAATTACGTTTCCGTTTAGTGCACTTATTCTTGGTTGGTAAAAGCATAGTGGTACCTGTGCCAGTGGTTCATGCAAATGATCTTGCAGGGGCTGGCAGATGTTGTGCTGCATTGCTTTAGTAGGTAGGCACTAGAGGTGTCCCCGTAGTAAACCACTACAGGCCTGACAAGGCGGTATAGCTACCCAAACGGAATAAGATGCGTTTACGTCTCATAGCCTACCTCGCAAACCATTGGACGCTTTAGCTCAAACGAGTTAATAAGTAGTACATGACTATGATATCCAATTCGCTCGGAAGACATTGTGTGATCTCACGCGCCTAGCTGAATAGATATGTTCTGCATTCTCACATTTCACATCACTCACCCCGTCTGTGTGTCAGTTCGAGTTGTCGCCGGCACTGAGTGCACTTCCGAAACCGCCGCCCGAGTTACAACCACCCATCAGACCCAGTAACCTCGATCTGACTGTGAACAAAGGTGAGGGCATCAGAGTTGCGTATATAATTGTTTATTGCAATCTACTTTCTTATTGAATTATGTACTGCAATCTACTTTCTTATACAATTGTGTATTGCATTTTATTTTTCTTATCTAATTGTGTATTGCATTCTACTTTCTTATACATTTGTGTATTGCATTATATTTTTCTTATACAATTGAGCTTTACGCGGCAATCGCGCACGAGACGGCTGCTGTGTTCCCAAATGTTCTAAATACGTTCTTCCAGTGCATGAGTGAATGTTTATAATGCATGAGGTGACAACGATAAATGTACAGGTGTTGACAGTCACGGAATCAAACAGTTGCGTTACTGCGAATAAGTCGTATGCATGAGTATTAATCTACACATCAGTACTGATGGTAGGTCGCTTGAACAGTCCCACTTGCCTTCCTTAAACCTTTCTATGCATGCAAATACGTTCTGCATAACAAACAGACTCTGCTGCTCCGGAGGCCAGGAGCTCTGAACCTATAGCTGCACCTAGTAAGGATGAACAGAAAGCAGAGAGAGAAAAGGAGAGAGCCAAAGAAGCCGCTCCAAAACCTAAGCGATCGTATGTTGTCTTTTGTGCCTTCCCGTGTTTGAAAGGGGGTTGAGAATGGCGAGGTTTGGTCTTTATTCGTCTTGGTATATTTTTTTGATGGCAAAGTGAGAGTGTGTGTCATTTGTTCTCAAGAGTCGACAGAGTCAAAGGCAACACATAAAGTACGGGGTGCATCCAGTGTACTGGCTCTGCATGCAGTCTCTGGCTATGGCCAATTAGGTTTCGTGTCATGTGTTCTCAAGAGTCGACAGAGTCAAAGGCAACACATAAAGTACGGGGTGCATCCAGTGTACTGGCTCTGCATGCAGTCTCTGGCTATGGCCAGTCAGGTTTCGTGTCTTTTGTTCTCAAGAGTCGACAGAGTCAAAGGCAACACATAAAGTACGGGGTGTATCCAGTGTACTGGCTCTGCATGCAGTCTCTGGCTATGGCCAATCAGGGTTTTTTCGCATATAGTGTATTGGTACTATAATATTGGACTGTATACTTATATCTACTACTTGTATAAACTACCTATATATTCTACGTATGTACTACAATCACTGTAGGTCCCGGCTGGCAGCCGTGAAGGAGGCTGCACAAGAGGCTCCCATTGCACAATCCACCAAACTAGACAATGAGGTAAGCTACGTACGATAACACTACATACTCACAGTGTAAAGATATAATTTGGCATGCTACCTGCATCGGTAGATGAAGCAGGTGGTCCGGCGAATGATGGCTGGTTTTGTTTTATAAATTGTTCCATATGTATTGTCCTTAGCCCGTTGATATATTATTGTTTCATTATTCCTGCGTATGATTTCTTATTGCCATTCTTCTGTATAATTTAGTATTTAAATTTTCTGGTTATTATTTCTACTCTTCAGTATGATTATTACTTCTATTCATCCTTATAATGTAATATTACAATTTTTTTAATTCTTTCTATTCTTCCGTATATTGCGGTACTACAATTTTCTTTGTGGTTTATTACTTCTATTTGTATAATGAAATATTACAATTCTTCTTGATAGTTTATTATTTCTATTCTTTATGATTTATTGTTCTCATTCTTCCTTTTAAATTTTGATAATTTCAATTCTTCTGTATGGTTTGTTATTTCTATTCTTCTGTATGATTTGTTGTTACTATTCGGGATGCGGACAGACTTGACGCATGCTGTATGCATGTATTCGCATACATGTTTGATAAGATGAGCTGGCATGCTTGTGCATGTGTAGTCAACATGCATGAAAGGTAGACTCGGTTCGGTCAACGTTGTGTTTCTGTGCACGTGTGAGGAATTACTAAACCAAGCTTAAAGCAAGTTCATATACTAAGTTTATTAATCATTTCAGAAGCGTGACCGTCCAAACCACGACAATGTCGCTGTCTAACCTATTTTCTCGCAACACATGGTCTATGTACTAGAACTTGTGCTGTCATTCTCTCCTCTTTTCAACGCGACAAATCGATCAGCCGTAGTATTGCGATTTTACCCGAGACAACACACACCCCTATACAAGCTTGGGTAACCGGCTAAAATTACAGTCGCATATCATTTGACACCTGGTCCCCATTCCTTGGCACTCAACAGATCATATGGGAGGATCTGCTGCCCACATTCATAGCAGACAGCCTCAAGGTGCTGCCGGGTCTAGCCGATTTGACCCCAGGAAGCACTCGCAGTACCACACCACACGTGCACAGCTCTACCACTGGGATGTCCAGTCGAAACGCGTCGTCCGTGGGCGTGTCAAAAGGTGTCACAGGGAGTGACACGCGTCAGCCGTCCATCGCTCTCCCCTGGAAGGACGCAGAGAGTCAGAACGAACCATATATGGGGTTTGGTGGGAAGCTAGAGGAAGTCAAGTCCCGTTTGCAGAGCGAAGTGCGCGTAACCGGTGATCAGACAGACGCGATCCCTTTAACTGGCGCGACGAGTATGAATAGTATTGAACCAGGATCTACAGTAGCTGTACGCACAGACGTGGGTGCAGATGAGGGGAGTGGAACGGGTACACACAAATCCAGGACTGAGCCAAGAAGCACTTTGGCTGCAGATACAAAGGTGACGACAGATGCACAGAAAGTTAATAATTCACATTTATCCGAGACCGAAACAACGACCGCCGCCGCTGTAAAAATGGAAGCGCCCGCAGAAGGGCAGCGAACCGAAGATCCACACGCATCCCAGAGTGATTCAAAGACCACAGTGGATGGGAACACGGGGGTGACCACGGAAGGACATGCAGCTATTGATACAAAGCAAAGCATGCCTGAATCAAGTACCACAATGACTGAGGAATCAACGGGGCTTGCCGATAGGCCAACAGTTGCCGATGTAAAGCAAACCACGGATGAATCAAGTATCACAATGACTGAGGAATTAACGGGGCTTGCCGATAGGCCAACCGTTGCCGATGTAAAGCAAACCACGGATGAATCAAGTACCACAATGACTGAGGAATCAACGGGGCTTGCCGATGTAAAGCAAACCATGCCTGAATCAAGTACCACAATGACTGAGGAATCAACGGGGCTTGCCGATAGGCCAACAGTTGCCGATGTAAAGCAAATCACGGATGAATTGAGTCCCAAATTGGCTTCGCATACTGAAGTGACTGCTGAAGAGCACTCAGTTGCCGATACGAAGCATTCCTCAGTTGAACACAGTATCACAGTGGCTGAGATCGCAGGAGTGACTACGGAAGGGCAAGCGGTTATTGATACCAGGCAAGCCGTGGCTGAAGTAAGCACCACCGCAACTGTAGACACAGCGACACCTGCGGATGGTAAAAGAGACACTGACGAGGATCTACGCATGGATACTGATGCGAAATCACCCTTGGATCCCGATACAGACGCATCCATGGATACACTCTCATCTGTTGTGACAGCCGAATCCCAGGAGTCACCACCGCCATTAGTATACGTTGAGGTAGCTAACCCGTTTATGGATTCGCCAGCTGCGTTTGACGCAAACAGTAGCGGAGATACCTCCCCTGTATTAGCCTCTCATTCAGCCGACGAGGATAGGGCCGTCCGGTACACAGACACTACCAGGAATAGTAACCCCACGTTGGAGAAGGTGAGGTCCATAGACACTGACTCAGGCATGGACACTAAAATGACCACCGACACAAACCCCTCTCTGAAGTGCGACGGATATATAGTACAAACCAGCACTCCCGTAGGCGCTGCTACCATCAACACAGACGTAGAGGTAGGGCCTGCCAAGGACTCCAACTGCAGCGACAATACACACACGGCCACGGACACAGAGTCTCACATAAAGGACGGCACGCCTTGCGCTCCCACCGTTGACACTAATTTACCAACGGCCACAGACACACATGCGACCGAGGCTTCTGAGCCTGTGGTGGACGTAGTTGAGAACGGTTCCGCTCTAACCATTGATGCAGACGCAGGCGATGGTATGGAGACCACCCCTGGTGTCAACAAGCCCGAGCAAGCACATCAGGCTCTACATACCACAGCCGATGCACCGACAGAAAGTCAGGCTGATGCGGAACTTGAGGTAGAGGGTGTAGGAGACGAAGCTGCTATCAGCGCACATGCCACTGGTCCTGTTGGTGTGGATAAGATCAACGACGGAGAGATTGTTGGGGACGACAGCTTCAGCAGTGACACGGGGCTGAATGAGAGTTTTGACATGGGCAATGATTTGGGCATGGAGAGCGCATCCACGAAGGCAGGGGTTACAGAGGAAAAGGAAGCCACTGCTACAGAAGTGCAAAGCGATGAGAAACCTAAGATAGCTGTACAGCAGGACGACAGTACCAAGGCATTACAAGCAACTAACGTCGATACCACTAAAGAGGGGGCAAGCGGCTCATCTATGGTATCGGAAGAGAAGGAGGAAGGATTGCAGGTGGCAGGAAGCAGCACTGATGCGCAGAAGGGCCTTGGCGAGGCGAACTCTGTAAGAGTGGCCGACGAAAGTGGTTCTGTTGGTAGTGCTAGTCAGGCACCTAATGACAGCACGTTGGTGGGCGAAGGGATAAGACTCGGCACTGAGACTGAATCGAATGCCCAGACGATAGCGGATACCAAGAAACGGTCAGAAGCGGGAGAGGCATCCGATACGGAAGATGGTACGCCTGCATCTAAGAAGACGAGATTAGATAGCGAAATAGGAGACAGCAAGGTCAGCGAGAAGGAGACGACATACGCACACGGGGTGAGCGTTGATACTACTTACTCTGATGCAAGTGTGAAGCCGCTTGGTGACGCTGGCGCACCAGAGGGAGAAATAGGCACATCCATGGACATAGACATACGTATGGATACAAACAGCGACAACACACAGCCACGCAGGCCTCTGGCCACATCCGATGACCATGGGCATACCCAGACAGTTGCGGGTGGCCAAGGTGCAGCTGAGAATCCCCCTATTGCCGCGTCAGACGCCTTGGATACCGCCGTGTCCCCAAAAGTAAAGACTTGTGGCAAAACAGTAGCAGAGAACACGTCAGCTGCGACTGTAGAAACCCCAAATAGTGTCGAAGTCGTACAGGAAGTCGAGACGGATCCCTTGGATATTGGCACGATCGGTGCGGAGGGGCGAGCTGACAGTGCGACTGCGAGAGGCGATAATCTGAGTGGTTCAGGTAGTACGGAGAGCAAAGGGAGCAGCCAAATGAATACCAGAGGATTGTACCAGCGTGCGCATGAGCGAGAGGATGAGGTGATGGTGGGGACCGCAGATGTGCCTGAGTCGCATACCAGTAAGATGAACACAGAGAAAAGCTCGGATGTCGAGAAGTGTGAGATGAAGACAAAGGAGGAGCGAGATCCGGGAATCGAGATAGTGGATAGTTATCGAAAACCGAAGTCCCCGCGGGCAGAGCTGTGCACGCATGAATTCTTGGCGTATCAGAACAATGGAGGTATGTCGGGTACACGAAAAGGCATATTTAACTGCAAGGGTGAGAGCCGGTTAGAATAGTTTAATTATAGATCAGATATGAAGATCCTACGCTATATGTATGTACTCTCCAAATCAAACGAAGACACCTATCTGTGCTTGTCTTTTGGCCTCACTTCCGGCTTTCGCTTCTTCCTGCCCATCTCACCCTTTGTGCGCTCTACGTGTGCGCTTGTACAGATTGGCTCACAACATACCTCAGCACTGCATTCGAGGCGCGTGGGAATGTGGATAGGATTCGCTGTGAGGTGCTGGCACGGTGGGGCGATACATCTGCATCGTATGAGTTAGTGGGAGAAAATGGTTCTTCAGCCACGTTAAACCAGTATGTTTTCGATCTGTATTGAATCTGGTTCATATTGCGCGATATATTTGGATTGGTGTAGCTTGTCTGTGCGGTTTTTTTTCTCAGTTGTATCATTAATTGGGCAGATGTTTTCGTGTGCAGTCGTGTAGGGGAGGGTTACGCAGCCTCATTCGACAAGTATGTTATCAATGTGTACTAATTTTTATATATATAGCCTTTTTTTGCGATAAATCCTGATTGTCCATTGTACACTGCTGCGTGTCGCAGGTCGATGTCTGCACTCCCAAATATTTCTGCAGAGTTGTGCTTCCAGCAAGTGTGGCACAGGCTAAAGATACACATAGTTCAAGTGGTGAGAGTGAGAACCCTGCAGGCTTAGTAACTTGGCTACACTGACTCGTAGAACATATACGCTACAATACATACCACAAATACCCCAGCTCTGCCCACACCCCTGCCTACATACACTCAGTACCACTATCTGTATTTCTTCACCCGTACTACCAATGCCCCAGTTCGACCTCATGTTGCACCCTTGGGCCACCCGAAGGGACCCCTGCTGCCCTTCTTCAGCGCCAGACCCCCTGGAGTTCGCTATCCAACAGTGCCCGTGCTGCGCTACAAGCGAGAGTGATCGGTTTGCACGATATCGTGAAGGTGAGTTCGGCCTATATGCATAACGTACACTGGCAGAAGCTTATGAACTGGAGACTATTGTCCGATATATTGTTCTATACAATTATATGCTGTCCTGTACATTGTCTTATACAATTAACTATTGTTCTATGCATTGCCCTGTACAATTAGCTATTGTCGTATACATTGTTCTATGTTGTATACTAAAGCAATCGGAAGCGGCGCAGACAAGCGATCATGGCCACTACGTAGCACAGAAGGGAGCATGATCTGATCCTACACCACAAGACTTTTGCCAAGCATGTATATTGACAGCTTGTAGCTTGTATGATACCTCGCCTCCTCTCCAAGCCAACCATTGCTGGAATGACGTACATAGAGCACACTTGACGTCTGCAAGTATTACGGAGTTACTGGTGTATTATCATTGTCACGTTCAATTGTAATTGTAAACCAAACTTCATCTGCTTATGCGAGCTTCGAATATATTCAACAATTTGAAATAAACCTAAATGAGGTCTATCACACACTTCGCTACGTTGAACTCGTCAAAATCCATATATGCACTTCCAAAACCAACCCAAATTAGTTACCATGTTAACTGCCCTGCGGTCCCCTAGTACTATACAACATCAAATCCCTCAAAAAATTCTAAACACGTTCAAAACCAAAACCATTTTTTATTGTATAGAGACACCCAAAACCAAAATCAAATTAGGTATTCAACCACTGCCCTGCGGCCCTCTCGTACCATCTCGTTGTGCAACCGACGTCGAATTCTTCTAAATCTTTTTAAACGCATCCAAAATCAACCCCAAACTAGGTACCGTGTCAACTACCCTGCGGCCCCCTCGTACTAAACAACGGGTTGATTGAGACCGCCTTCTCGTTGCGGAACGTAGCGTCGTGTTTGTTTTGCGCAGAGATACAGATGAGTGTCGCTGAAAAGGCTTCCACCGTCAACAATCGGTCTTCCACGGAGAGCTCCAGCAAGACCGCACCCGCTGGACTGCGGAATCACAGGTCTGTGTGTGTTAAGTGCACAATGGTATTGTATTGACACTCATGGCTTCAGAGGTGCGTGTGTGCTATACGCATGCATGTGTGTGGGTTAGTGCTACAAGCATCGTAAACCCCCCCATTATAGTTCTTCTGCAGGTTTATTAGTACGTTTGTTGTAGACGAGCATTTAAATGCCCCTCACTTTTTACCCACGGTGCAAATATAAGCCTCAGCTTTCGCGACTGTTCAATCACGCAATGGTTATACAATGTTATACAATCGACCACGTGTCACAACTTCATATCCAAGGAAAAACTGGATCTGATAGTATTGACCATATTATTCGCCACGCTCTATGCCCTTTTTATATTTATAGTTGCACAGTTTCACAATGATAAGTATGCCATTTGCCCCTGGTTATCGCGCTGCTTTCTTTTCGCTGAAAATGGTGTGCCCAAATTGTGATACTATACTAGCCCTAACCCCTAGACTCTAAACCCCAAAAACCTAAACCTAGTTGAAAAAGTAAACCGCACAACTGACAATACAATTCCCTATGGGTTCTCCCTCTCGAGTGTGTGACCGCCCCGCTTGAGTGTGCATCACAAATTAAATACCAGATGTATTAACCCTTCCTGTAGGCTTTTCGCCTCGGTGATTACACCATCTGTGTGTAAACCGTAGGCATTTGCTAAGATCTTGCTTCACATCTCTATGACATGCAGGTTTTCCAGTCTTTGCACGTGTCATACAACCCCCGGGTGTAAATTCTACTAGCATACAATAGTATAAATGTTTTTCACCCAGTTATACTGACACTATATATATCGTATATGTTATTATACTGCATTATATAGGCATATCTTATCAATGGCTGCGCGATTGGGGCAGATCTCCTGTCCACGTACCGAAGGTAAGAATTTATTCTTTCGGTCGATGTTTATTTCTGGTTCAAAGTTTTAGGGTTTAGGATTGTTTCGATGCCAGCCATTAATTCTTGTATTTGATTTCCCTTATCAGCCATGTTCCATGAATATTTTACTATTTGCCATCCATAACTTCACTCTTTGTTCGCAAACGACGGTTCTGCTGCATTCGTAACGCTCTGTATGTTTTCATACAATCACCCAGCGCGTGTGTTCTGGTTTGCAATGCGATATGATCTGATGTTTGGAACGGCTGAACAGGCCGCAGCATCCGCCGAGACCTGCAGACAGATACTAAAGATTTTACCAACAACCCAGGGTATGTACATCGGGTTACCTAAAGATACGCACACGCGCTACTTGAGCAAGGAATTTCACAGCCACCTCTGGCTAATTACTGTCGTGTCATCTACACTGCAATGGTTTGACATATTTATTTTAACGTTGTATAATTTGACAATGGTTTCAACTTCCTATTATTTTCATCTCTCGCCAGTGCTTCGTACGCCGGATATGAGGCTTGTTGTGCGTCCTTACACAAGACAGGAATTACACACCTACATCACATAGTGTTTTAGTCCTCAGATTTGCCTATGATATGTCTCAAAATAATAAAAGCTATGGTGACAACTACGTCAAATGGTGTATGAGACCTCAGATTTGCCTATGATATATCTCAAAATAATAAAAGCTGTGGTGACAACTACGTCAAATAGTGTAATAGACCTCAGATTTGCCTATGATATGTCTCAAAATAATAAAAGTTGTGGTGCAATCTAATCATTACGACCGTATCTCTGTACTATTTTCCGTAGGGAATAATCTCAAGACAGACGCAGCCTCTACGCGTGCAACCATCACCCTGTGCCACGTCTCTGTAAGTCTTCAAAACAATCACCAGATGTTGCGAGTGTCTGTGTATTTATCATTTATTCTAGTACATGCCCCTTGTTGTTCATGGTCGTGCTTTTATGCTATTCTAACTTAGGGACCTGGGTTTAAGTATTATGAGCTTCTGATATAGGACAGTTCAAGATCGTAATCAGTTCATAGTTGTGTATCCTCTCGTCCATCCAGTTGTCGTTACTCGACGTATATTTATCTTCAATTCCAGGCCAGGGTTCATTTTGTTGTCGTTTGTGTACTTTTCTTCTATATAGACCCTGTTTACAAGCCGGTCTCAGTTCTTAAGGTATTCAGTATCAGCTTCATCTACTTCATTCTATTCCTCCCTTTTATTCACCTTATCGCTTCGTTGTAGCAATTCTAGTAGTGTGAACATTTTTTAACTGTTTTATACACTCATACATACA